GCATACTTCTCAGACATGTCAGGACTGGCTCCCAAATACAAAGTATGTGCACATGCCATGCAAGTAATCTGTCAGTGTTTATGATTACTCACCACAGGCTTAGAAAACGCAATGAAAAGCCAAATTACAACTAAAAACATTTCATTTCATGATCAATTGATCAACAGTTCAAGGAAGAAGACTTTGTTTTCATTCTGATTTTTAGGAGTCCCACTGGAATCACTGATAGCATCTTCAGCAACTGCAATGGTATTGTGTTGGACATGCATCCATAGTGGCTCTTGGCAGGTTCAGACAAGAAACAGGAAGACTGATATCACTTTGTTGCTGCATATGTTATTGTGAGATCCAAGTCCTCACTGGGTCAGAAATCACATGGTGTATTAAGGGCTTAAGATTAATTATAGAGATTTAAACTCCTGTTTTGACCATAAGCCATGAACGGAAATGGAAATAGAAAAAAATTAAGTTTTATGATTCTGGGCCATGGAATAATAGAACTTTTTAATAAAGGAAAAAATAATTAATTAATTTCAGTGGTAGACGTGTTTTGAGCATCCTTGTCAAGTAAGTCACATCATTACCTTGTTTCAGGAATCTGACAGAAAAGGACAATATTAGATATTTTAGATTAGAGGAGACTCTTTGCAGGGGCCTGTGTAATTCCATTTGTGTTGACAACTTCTACATTAATAGGCCAGTAATCTGGCCCATTAAAGAATGGAATGATATAACTCTCTCAGGTTGGTTAGCAGTCCTTTTTCCCTCTTTCTTATGTAGCCCAGATCTTAATGTAAACTGACTCTCAGTGAGAACTTTGGTGTCCATTACCAATACCTGCAAACTTCAACATATTTTCATCTCCATATAGCAAATACTTTTTTTTTTCCCCACTGGGTATAAAAAGTAGTAAATACAAAAGTAATGTCCAAATCAATTCCCAGCCTTCAGAAAACTACACAATATGCAGATGACCTCCTATACTCTGGTAATTTCTTTTTGTAGTTGCTAGATGAGGAGAGATTTCATATGTAGGGATGTAATTTTAACATCAAATACATTCCAATTCCCTTATCTAATCTAACAAGCCATTTAACAGTTTATCTATCAGAGCAAGTCTTTGAATCAGTTTTGTGCCATGGGAGTAAAAGATGCCTAATATTTAAATAACGATCTTTTTTCACAAAGGTGAAGTTGATCGGTAATAAAGATTGTTTCCAATCAATGATCTTCAAAAGATCTTTTCCATTTCTTTCCAGATGACTATACAAAACATTACAGTACATAAAATACCTTGGTCTAATCCACTGCCACTTATTTTCCTCTTTGTCATTATTTCTCAAGCTTTATGAAGTACTTTTGTAAATGTTTTGGGCCTAGAGAAGACATGTTCTTGCTTTCATATGGAAATGTAAGCACTGTCATTCCTCCACTGCCAAAAGACACACATGCACACAGCTGGCACCTAATCACAAAAATAAAGAAAAAAATCCCAGCTGCAATATTAATAGCAAATATATTCTGGTTCATGTCTGGTTACACTCAGGTGAACACTGATAAGTCATGTGTGAGGTTCTCATACGTAGCTCTGGCACTGCACCACCAATCCTAATATGCCTCCTGGCTCTCTTGAACATTGCCATACAGCTCAGTCCTAAGTGGCTTCTTGCTGACACACTTCTCTCCAGTGGAGATTGATTAGAGTTGGCCATAGTTGGTCTTTGCTTTTTATAGAAAAATAAATATATGGGCTTCATCTTCCCTCAGAATCTGATACTTCAGATAGGCTGATAGGCCAAATTCTGCAGCAAAGCTTTCTCCAAATGACAATTTTCAGACATCATTCCTGAATGTTTGCAGAGTACATGATGAAAAAATCTGTCCTAGTTAAGCTGATTCATGTGTCCTTCCAAATGCTTAACGAGGGTTCCAACAATGTATATAAAAAATCAAATTAAAGGACCATGTTAAAAAAACTGTTTATATCATGGAAATGCATCTCAGATTCTAGTAGAGAGCTCTATAAGGACCATCTAGGCCATCTTAAGTCATACCTAAACTGTCTGATTTTTGGCTGCTCTGTATTGTATTTGTAATCAGGAAATTGCTGTGGAAGGAACCCTGGTGCCATTTTTCAAGAGCAGACAAGGTTTGCCCTAAATGTTCAGCAATAATGCTGAGGCAAATTCCATGACTTTCCCTTCCAGCAGTCTTAGTACAGCAGTTGTTCACTACTTGCTACACTCAGTGTTTATGGAAAGTGAGTGAGTACCTTGAGGAAGCAGGTGTCACACCTGCCCACAGCACTCAGCTCCAAGCGTGCACAGAACCTCCTGGCACAGAATCCAGCACTGGGAATGGCAGGCCATGGCATTCCCAGCAGGGGCCACAGCAAACTCAGTCACCATGTGCCCGGCACAACGCACCCAGAACAAAGCAGCTCAGCAAGAAACTGCTGAGCTCCTGAGAACACTGAGACAATGGTGTGGTATCTTTGTGCCGCCACCAAAGCATCAGGTCTTTAGAATACAAAGTGATATGCAAAAACAGAGCTTAACATAAACAGTAGGGATGGAAAAGCATTGCCAGATATATTAAAAATGGCAGCTTTCCTAGCTTAGGAAAATTCATTTATCACTACAAAGGCATTGCTTTGTAGCATGGTTCAACAGCACAGAAAGATGCCCGTAGAATTATTTATAGGTAGTAAGAATTTTGTAGCTTCTTCATATAAAAAAAGTTATTTTTTAAACATACCAGGTTCAAGTCTAATGTACAACCCTACGAATGTCTAATCAGTTTTGCTTTCTTCCTCTTCTCACTTTCAAATTCTGGTCTCCTGGACAACCACACAGCAACAGAAGAAATATCCAGTAGTTCAGGCCATTTCTGCAATTACTTAAGTTGGTTTAAATGACATTATGGTAACATTATCACATATAATAATCAGCTGCAGGGAAAAAGCTTTGGCCTAAACTATCAATACTCTTATAAAAAGAGTAATGGAGATTGCTGCTTTTAAATGTCATCACTGTACAGACCTGTTATAACTTTCCCCTCCCTGGCCTGAGAGGCACTACATGAGATAAAGGGGCAGGGCACAGCAGAGCTGTGCTGTGAGTTCTCATTCTTCCTCTAGGGTCATTAGGCTGCATCATGTTCTGTAACTCAGTACCTGTGTTCAGAGCTTACAAGGGAAATGCACAAAGCAAGAAACAGCAGTGGGAATGCTATGCTATACAACTCTTACAGTACACATTAATGACTTCAAAGGAAGCAGCTGCCTTTCCACATGCCACCATGGGCCAAAATAAGCTGCCCATCCCAACATGAGCAACCAAACTCAGGCACTTTACCTTTGTTCCAGGCCCGTGTAACATGAGCAGTCTGTGAGGGGATGGGGCACCACACTGGATGCTGCACTCAAAATGCCTGTTCTCTCCTTCTGGCACAGAGAGCACCACTGTTCCTTATAAAACATCCCCTACTCTTAATAAGGTTTGTTTTTCTAACTGGTTCCCAGAAATCTCTTGGGCGTTCCAAGCCCAGAAAAGTAATTACTGCATTACTTTGGCCACAGACACAATATCAACCTTGTTAGACTTGGCCTGTGGAGAGAGCCAAACACCTGCTGCTGCAACATTTATTTGATAAGCTTCATGGTTCACTAACATAAACCTGATCCTGCTGACCTGCAGGAGGATGAAAAGGAATCGGGGGGGAAGGGTGGAGCAGGTAGGCAATCTCACAGCCCTCTGGCCCAGCAAGCTCCCATTTCTCTTTGCTTTCGTGTTTCCTGGTGAGAGCTTCAGAGAATTGGTTTTCCCCCTGCAGTTATGCAGGCAGATGTGGATAGGGCTAGGATTCCCATGCCTTATGACGGATTAGCTGACAAGTGCAGGATCAATACGGGAATTGTTCTAGCTCTGGCTGCATCTGTAGGCTTCCAAAGCAGACAGAATAGCTGCACACACTCTCGTTGGCATGGTGGTGTGTGCACTGAAAGGCTGGCTTAATACCAAAATCCATTAGTTATCAGCAAGGAGAGAGGGGAAAAAGGGCTGAAAATCAGTCAAATTGGTAGATAAAAGGTTGGGGAGAAAATCTGATACAGAAATAGAAAATTAATTTTTATTCTTCAAATGACATAGTTTTCTAGTCTAGTATTAAAAAAGAAAAAAAAAGAAGAAATGGGAGTGTGTGGGGGATATAAATAAGGTTTAATCCCAAACAGAACCATCTCTTCCAGTTGATACTACCAAGCAATGTCTGCCCAAAAAAACACATGCCAGGGGACTCAGCAGGAAAATGAAAATAACCTTCCTGAGTATGCTGCTCCATATCAGGAAAGAAACTTATTCTTGTCTGTTTATCAGTCTCATCTTTTTCTAGGCAGAGGAAATACAAAACAGACAATCTAGAACCAGTAAAAGGACATTTCCATGTATTGCTAGTTGTCACTTATAGGGAAAGGTTTGACCTCAGAACAGTATGTTTTCTAGTGTACTTTGTTTATCATTCTTTACCTGAATGACACCTCTGTCAGTGTATGTTGATAGTTTATCTTGGAGACATACAGTGTGATTCACCCTTTTGGGAGACAGTGGAAAGCAGATGAATCACTGGGGATTACATCAGAGCCAGACCAAACTTTTATATGAAACTTGGCAAAAATCTGAAGACTAATCCTCTGAACAAACATGAAGTTGTCTACATGACCATCTTCTATCTTATTTCACCTTCTTCTGCTGGCTCAGAACTTCAGGAAATTTATTTCCTGATATATAAAAAAAGCCTGCAAAAACTCAAATACTATGCCACAAGACATTTTCTGGATAGATCCAACCCAAAATCAAAGCAAAAACCTCAAAAGAAAATGCCTTTTATGGAATCTCAAGCACAGTTTTACAGTTATGTGAAATTCAGGTAATGAATGATAAACAAAGTTTCAAAGTTTTGGACTACCACCAACCTTCTACTTTTATATTCCCCCTTCACAGGGTGAAGGTACAGGACATACAGCATCAAAGTAAAATGCTAACTAGACCCAGAAAACCAGCATGACTGGATTCTCAAAGCTCTACTTAAAACAGTCAACTGTTCTCCAGTTTCTGCTTTTATTGACTAGACTGTTTCTCTCTGAACAGTATGAGAAAGATGTTTTAGAACTAGGAATTCAGGAAAATAAACAAATAATCTGATACTATTGGAATGCTTTTGTGGAAAGTGCTGCATGAATGAAGACAGAAAGCATAAGAGAATTTGACCTACACTAGGAAGTCTATATTGCTTGGAAAACTGATTGTACCAAAGATCTACAAAGCAAGTATGCTCAGTATGAAAATCTTGAAAGCAATATACAATGCACCCAATCATCAGAAAATGCACCAGATTGAGCCATCTTAGTTTTGTTAAAAACTGATGATGACCAAAGTAAATAACTTCATTCTTCTTCCACAATTTTGCTTTAGCTTATATGCCTAAATGTTCCCCAACACTCTAAAAACAAATGAAAGAGCTCCAAATGCATTGTTCAGCCACCAGACAGAAGTGATAAGGAAGAACTCGTAGCCTGTTCTTCAACAGCTGCTAGAGAAACCAGTAGCAAAATTCCCAAGCTAAGAACAATTGGATTTCTTGGAGCTCTCTAAACAATAAAGCCATCTCATTTCAGACACTATTAAAAAGCATCCCAGGCAAAGTATGGCAATGACTATGAATATCCTCAAATGGATTTTCTGTAAAACCCCTATCATATTACAAGCTGTATATATATATTATTCTGCATTTTATTATTAAGTCTAGTTTCAGACTGTGAGCACATGTACACCTTGTATAGCAGCTTCTGTCCATAGCTTCCTCAGATTACCACAGATGCAGAAGCTCCCCAGCGAATATCTGTTTCATGGTAAAATATTGGTAGACTTTTACACTAGTAGGAATAGTTTTAAGGAAAGCTGAACAGTTTGACACAGCCAGCGTGAACTACGCCTGGTTATCTGAGAAGTGGAATGCAAGGAGCTTGACCTGACACATCAGCAGAGTTCTCTAAAACCACACTAAGTTTGGAGCACAGCAGGGCAAATGAGAAACAACAGCCACACAGCTCACACAGAGCATCCCCAAGAAAGCTCTTGCTTGCTTGCTCTGTGCTTACAATGAACACTGTGGCCAAAAGGAACCAAAATCATATAGCCACTTCTTAAAATAAACCTTCCCAGCGGGCCCTTCTTCCTGTCCTCTAGCAGCCACCAGAGCAGAGGACTGAAACAGTCTGAGTCACGGAAGTGCACGCGTGCTGGTCTGCACAGAGCTCTGAGCTCTGGGTGCCTTGGCACGTGGGGCTGCCCACACGCTTGTGCAGCCAGCTACAGGACCATGAGAAGAACATGAAAGCAGGATGTCTCACTCCCTCTCCATTTTCTTCCTCTATGCAGAGAACTTTACACAGTTGAAAACAGAAAATATTTTGAGACTTTTCCTCTACAGGTAAAATGTGAGCAAATGCAGTTCCTTAACAGTGCACAGGTGACTAGAGCTCAGCCTGGTAATAACACATCACTTCTGCTGTGCCAGATCCCTGGGAACCTCCAGGATCAACACCTTACCAACTACACCATTTTGTATGACAGCAAAGGATCAAATTGGACAGAGTCAGAGTAGAATATCAAGATAAAACTTATTTCATGGTAACTGAATATTCTGCTCTCAATTTTTTTCTTTCTTTTTCAAAAGTGCATTTCTAGCTTTATGGTTGTGATGATAACTTTTATGTTAGGAACCAAGAGTAAATAATATAAATAGCTCAAGCCTGCAGAGACACTAAAATAGGTTTCTCAAAATTATGTCATAGCATGATGTCTTGAAATGACTGAACCCCATCCTTCTCATAAGTTTTTTGTTTGAACTATCTGGTTCCTTCAGGTTGGAATCAATGAAAGAAAAAGTCTATGGTTTTTTGTTATGTCTTAGGTTAAAAACTATTGAAACTGGTCACTCTAGCACTGCATTTCCTTTCAAGCTAAATAAAGCTACAGTTAAATACTGCTCTGTTTAGTAATTGCTAAAAACAAAAGACTACAAAAAGACACAGGCTGTGCAGGGTCTGGACCTCACAAGACAAAGGGAATCATGGGAACAGATGCCCATGGGAACAAATGTGGAGATTAGGGCAATAGGAAATGCAGCTCTGCTTCTAAATGTGTTGGGTATGAATATGGTATTTTTGTTGACAGAGGTAGCATATCCTCACATTGAAGCTTACTGTAATCCAATATAACACACACAATTTTTATTATATCCAACTACTGTAATTATTTCTTTGGTAATTTGCTAGCTGTGTTATAGTAAAAGTATAAAACTCTTTATTTTACTTTTTGTTTTGGGGTGTGTGTGTGTGTGTGTGTGTGTGTGTGTGTGTGTATAAAGAATACCAAAACAAGGTTTCTTCTTAGAAAATTAGTCCAAAGCCATCTAAAATTAAGTTTACTCTCTCAGAATACTATTAGGTTACTTTGAATCTTAAAATAAATCTCTGGCCAAGTCCTAGATGACTATTTACTTTCAGTTATTTCTGAATAAAGTTTTAACCACTTCTATCACTTCTGTTGGAGTCATCTGTATCTAACAGGTTGGGGTGAGGGGAGAAAGTGATCTGTCTGAGCATTAGAAAAATTACAGACTTACTGACAGAATAAACACAGAAGAACAAAGTGACCAAAAACGACAGCAAATTGAGCAGCATTTGAGGAAGGCCAAGGGAAAAAACAAAACACCTTACAGTATCCAAAAGCCTTTGGGTCGCTTTATTTCAGCTACACCATGCCTTAAGTTTTGGAAAGAAGAAATACAATGCTAAGATTTCCAGTACATCAACTCAAACTTGATTTACCCTGAGAAAACCCAGTCTAATTCCTGAAAGATTTGCAGCAGCTCTGGCCTGTTTTCAGAGCACTATGGCACACAGGAGGTGAACTGGGTGCTGATGGGAGAGGTACAGCATGGAAAGACCACGTCCTGCTCAACCTAGTCTCCAGATCACCTGTTATAAATATGAGAAATTATTTGTCAAGCAAAATAGAAGGGATTGTCTCTGTGTTTAAACCTTTGCTGAAACTGACTCATAAAGCAGGAAAGCCATGAAAATGCAAAATATACTTTGGAAAACCATGCCCAGATAAGGGTATATAAGGCTTGCTGGACAACAACACAGTAACTGGATCATATGTATACAGCATGAAACACTGCAGAAATTGAGTGTCCTTCACATAATGCTGAAAATTTCAGCATCTCTGTAAATTAGAAGATTGAAAACAGGACATGGTGAAATTCTTTTGTCCATTATTATACAAAACCAGCAAGAATTAGCAGTTGAAGCCAGATATCCCCAGATCTCAATCTTAAAGCTGTATTTGCTTTGATGTTACTCATTTGTAGGACATATTAATAGAGCAGTGAACAACTGGTGCTGGTTGTTGTGGCTTATTAGGCAGTGATCGATTTGGGCCATGCTTTTACTCATTTCTCATAACAAATATTTGCACATGGGACTGAAGCACTGGGAAGCCATACATGCATAGCTATTGTCTCGACCCTTCCTTCCAAGGCGCAGTTCCACTCCTTCCTCCATCTCAGTCCCTTCATTAATCTCCCCATTTGCCTTCTAGTTTTGTTTAGATTACAAGTTATTGTCACTAAATACATGAAAACTGTAACCAAAGACAGTCTGGGCCTAACATAATTAATCAAGTAATTTCCAGCTAATGATTTACTGTTTGCTTCACTTCCCCACCCACTGTCTGGCTTCTTTAGGGCAAAGACATAACTTATTGCTAGACGACTGCACACAGTAATGGGACTAAGAATGCAATAAAAAAGATTTCATGTTAAAGGGGATGAATATAATCAATGAGTTTTTTCCCCTTTAGTAGAGAACAGTACATTGCTACTTCAGTGGTAAAGGCTCCTGTGACCAGAAGAAGCTCAGAACTGGCTTCTGTGAGTGTTCCATGCTAGTGGAAGCACTTTTGGCTTGACATGTTTTGGCCCATGTGTCTGCTATTCTGATTTTCAATGAGACAATTCACTGTCTGTTTCTGGGGACAGAATGAATGGAGGAGTTAGATCAATTATCTGAGAGTCTTCAGGATACACTCTGACAGATGATGAAAGGACTCTAATATGTAATTGAAATACCCTGTACCAAAATACTCACATTAAACCTTGGCTGATTACACACAGGTCTGAGCTATCTCGGACCTTCAGAACAGGAACTGAGTTGTTTATCAGTGAAAGCCAAACTTCTAAAAAGCTGGCTGCCCACTACAGAGCCTTTGTGTTGGGTAAATTAGCTTCAGGAAGAGAATCAAAATGAATTAAAACCACATGGAGATCCTCTCCCTTTACTCCCCCCCCCCCCCCCCCCCCCCCCCCCCCCCCCCCCTCTCGCTATATGAATCCCCTCACCAGGAGACA